GAAGATATCTCCCACCTGATAGTTGGGTGAATTATTATTGGATTATGGAATGGGGTGCCAAGGAGAGGGGGTTGAACTATACATGATATCTATTGCTTTCGCGCCAATTTACCCAGACTCAGCTTTGCTTCGCTACTTATCGTTTGTAATTAGTAAAAGTACACTTAATTTCAAGAATGGAGTTGAGTGGTTTCTTTCCTGATTATTAAATAAGCAGCACCTGACAAGACCATTAAACTTATTGTGTAATTCAGAAAAGATCAGAAGTTCTCATACCAATTTCATCATTAAGATGAAGAATTTTTATTAATGTAGGCATGTTGATTTCACCTCTCATCTTTGCATCTTTGCACCTAATTCCACGCAAGATACTACCATATATTTTTTAAAGCCTGTAAATACCATTTCTATAGTGAGCAAAGGGATGTCTGTTCTTGCCATTTACTTCAAAGGAGGAGCGTTAGCTAGCATTACCCTTTAAAGTCCTTTTACACAAATTTATGAGTTAAGATACACAATCATACTTATTGCTTTTTCTATATAAATAGCATTTGCATACTCAAATGTTTCCATTTTGTCTCATATGATTATATGTAAGGATATTAGAATTTTAATATCCATTCCAGTCTATATCACTTTATACAACTTCAATTATCATAATGAATTGCCTTAAACCTATAATGTTGTCTATATAAGCATAAAATGTATTCAGCTTGAAAATTAGAACTAGAGAAAAGCAAACTACAAAATAATAAAATACTGTGTCTTTCACCCTACTTACTTTCAACCAAACAGAGTCTTCCTGAAAATATTGAAAAATGCAAATTGTTTTGGAAGAATTGCTACTATGGTACAGTTTTCTCAAATTTCTTTTTTTTCCCCTCAGACGTCTAAGAGCTCAGTCCCTGGAATGGTATTACAATAATGTGAAAAGTCGCTTCAAGCGTTTTGGAAGTGCTAAAGTTCTGAAGAATTTATATAGAAAACATCGTTTGGAAACTGGAACTTGCTGTGACATACTAGGTAGAGAGAAAAATAACAGAGATAATAATTTCTTTACCATGAATACTCATACAAATGTGGGGCAAAATTTTTACCTATGGTGCAGTGATCAATGTATTATTATTGTATCTCAGGAAAAAAGAGAGAGCCAAGCATTGTATATGAAGGTTGGCATCTTGTGTCATCATGCAAATAACATTGCTCTGGAAGTGCAAGATATAGCACTTAGACTTATATACAGCTTCACAGTACTTTACAGCACTGTCTAAGCAGTTTACACAGTCTGTATATTGCCCCCAACAATCTGGGTCCTCATTTTACTAACCTTGGAAGGATGGAAGGCTTCACCAACCTTGCATGCAGTCAACAATCAGCAGAAGTAGTCTGCAGTACTGCAATCTAACCACCACGTCACCTCAGCTCTTCTCAACAATTGAGCCCAAAATTTATGTTGCTAAGTGAGGCATTTGTTAAATGTTTGCCCATTTTATGACTTTTCTTGCCATAGTTGTTAAGTGAAACTTTGCAGTTGTTAAGTTAGTAATATGGTTGTTGAATTTGGCTTCCCCATTGACTTCACTTGTCAGAACATCGCAAAAAGTAATCACATGACCCCTGAACACTGCAATCATCATAAATACAGATCAGTTGCCAAGGACCTAAATTTTGATCATGTAGCCATAGGGATGTTGCAATGGTCATAAGTGTGAAAAACAGTCATAAAACACTTTTTTCAGTGCCATAGTAACTATTGTAAGTTGAGGACTTCCTGGGAAATAAATGCAGAAACTCATGTTCAGTTCTTGGAGGTGCCTTGTTTTTAAACATCAATTAATGCTTTATAATTCTAATTTTAAAATATTTTAGTTAGGGTACAGATTAGAATTCTGTAATATATGTATAAATATATTAACTGACATAAATTGATGGCTATACATAATAGAACATATATTATTTTCTTAATTACAAACAGTTCTTGGAATTTCTCACTTGTAATATTCTGTTTTTATTGAGCCGTTTCCATTTATAGAAGTCAAATGTGCAATAATGTGTATTGGCAGACTTCACAAATGGTTGTGATTCAGCCACTGTCGGTCACAATATTTTGGATAAAGAACTGTGTCAGAAAATGTCTCATTGGTCATTTTAAGAAACAAGGAAGAAGGAAGAATAAACCAAGAGCTAAGCAAGATTGCATTTTGGTTGCAAAGTGTATTTCCCTTTTTCATCAAATATGTTGGAGACACCTAGTAATTTAGTTTATGTGCCTATGAAGCATGACCTTTTTATTCTTTCAGACAAGGCTTCATTTAATTTTCTGATTTGTGTGAGAGACCTCCTCTTACACAAATTTACATAAACAACTCTTTTCATTTTATTAACAACTGTTTCTTTTTTAATTCTTCCCAGAGCAAGACAATAATAATATTGTCTACTTCTTCCCTTTGAGCAGAAGAGTGATTAAACACCTTGCTTTGCATGAAATGATGACCTTTAAAATTCATTATGTCAAGTATTTTTATGCAATCCCTTTTTCTTAAATTCATGTTTTATCTTTTATGTCAGTCAACAATATTTAAATCATTGATGGACCCAATGTTGAGATTTGCGTTTATTCATAGCTATAGTGTATTTCTGAAGAAATTACAGGGATTTATACCTTTTTTTAAAGGCGGGTTTAATGCTGTCCCTTTAGGTGATATTGGAATTACATCAGGGATTCCTAAACAAATGTTTCTGTATATATTAGTATTCATTTTCCAGAATTGCCAGGCAATCATATTAGCTAGGAATTATAGGAGGTGAAATGCAAAACATGTGGGATGGTGGTCTGGTAATTACAGGCCAGTTCTAAAGAGAATTCTTCTATCTATATGTTATATATTGATAAATTGGAAAGTATCTTTTCTTTTCTTTCTTTTCTTTCTCTTCCTTTCCTTTTTTTTCTTTTTCAGAAGCAGGACATTTTTATGAAGGAACCACAGTAAATGAAGAAAACAAATGTAACAGTGATTCGGTTTTCTACAAAAACACAGAGGGTAGATATTTAAATTTTACTGTTATTTTTATCTGTAAATAAAATATCTGAATTGCAGTGAAATAACATAGGATTAATATATGTCATTAGTGGCAATAACGTAAAACATATTTATTTTCTTGTGCATATTTTTCTTTTCACCATATCTCACTTTTTTCCTATGAAAACATAGTAAGTTTTGAACACTGAATAAGAATAGATGTCAATACTGAACTGAATTTGCTAAAGGCCATTTTCCTGGTTCATTGTTGCCACACTGTATGGGAGTGGGGGGAGGATGCATTGCTAGACACAACATTGAACTTTCTCATGAGAATCAATGTCATCTCCCAGGTGATGGAGGGGGAAGGAGAAGAGTGCCAGAGGATCCCCGCCAATTTATTTGATTGGCCAACGTGGCCAGTGACACTGGGGGGAAGGGATGATTACTGATTTTAATTATGCTGAAACTGCAATAAAGATTCAGAGTTGGTTTTCAACCAAGTGTGCTGATATGATTTACCCCATAAAGAAGTTGTTTGAGGGAGCATCTAACCTCAGAATCCTGATTTGCTTGGGTTCATTACCTTGACATTAAACCAACTCTGCTAAATCCTGCCCTGAAGAATGGACAACTCCTGGGGTCCTGCACGCTGCCAACAGCTCCAGGAGTATGAAGAAGACTCAGGAAAGATTTTGAAGTGGAAAAGAAGGGAGAGATCGTGGCCAACCCCAGGACAGTCTCAGCGGGAATTGTAGGCCAAAGGTCCAAGTGGAACAGACAGAGCAGTAAGCAGTTCGAGAGAATGCCATAGCCACCATGGACCTCTACTATGTGGAAGGAGAGCTGGTTCATAGAAGGGTACTGAAAGCTGCTGAAGTGGAATTCCACTTGAGGTCCCCCTGGTCACCAACCGATTTGTTCTTGAGAGAGCAGTGGAATGGGATGACCAGAGGAAATGGAAGTACCTGGGCACCTTCCATAACCCATCAGTCGAACAGCGGAGGATAAGATTTGATCGCAGGGAAATCCAAGGTGTGGAGCTGATGAACCGCCCTCGAGCACTGATGGTGCCTGCAACCTGTTTATTCCCACTAGCCTCAACTCACCGAAGCCCAAGTCTGACCTGGATGGCAACAAGCCCTCCTTCTGGGCCATCAAAGCCAGCTTTGAGATGCAGTCCCCCACAGCAGCAAGGAGTGATGAGCCCTAGCCCATGACGGAGTCCTCCTCCCCAATAGCAGCAGGCTGTGAGCCATGGGGTCCAGCCATGGACCCACCTGGGTGGTTGGGTCATCCACCATGGCCCTATTACCCAATGCAGGGGTGGTTCCCTGACCTGTAGGGACTTCATCCCTCCTCCACCCCCTGTGGACCTGTCACAGATGAAAGCTACATTTGATGAGATCCAGAGAAATTGGCATTCTTTCCCAACTCAAAGGTGTAGGCCCACCTGGACCATTATGCCCCAGGCTGCTCATTGGAGGTGGAGATGGTGAATGCTATGGCCGCAAACGTGGAGGAGGAAGCCTCAGAATGGGTGACTAGACTCCACAATGAAGACACACTAGAACTGGGGAATATCAATGTTTTCCTGGAGGAATTGAGGGCCAGATTTGAAGATGAATTCCAAGCACTACAGGCTGAAACGGAGATTCAAGAAGTGAGGCAAAGGGGCCTACAAGCAAAGGAATATATCCGAGAATTCCTCAGAGTGGCTGGAAAATTGAGACATTGACCAGACCAATTGCTGGTCTACCACTGCAAAGAAGGGCTTGACCAAGAGCTGCTCCAGCCCTGCATCTACCGAGGAGTCCCCAAGTGGACCCAGTACTGATACTGGATAGCAATCATGCTGGATCTTGAGCTGAAACAGTATAAAAGGAAGGGAGCATCTGAGACGAAGCTAAAACAGAGCCAGGAGTGGCACCAGTTCGGATGATGGACGACCACACCTATGGTCATGGAATCCCCTCCTGTCATGCCCCAAACACCCATCAAGTGCTTCAGGTATGGCCAGCAGGGCCACCAGGCAGCCAAGTGCTTAGCACCCACATGCCAACCAAAGAGTAATCCACCAATCACAACCAAGCCAAAGAAACTGCAGATAGGGGCCAAGTAAAACTAAACCTGGCACGCCCAGGCTGTAGAAGTCGCCTCTCCCTCAAGTGAGGAAAAGGGAACTCCAGCCGAGAAAGGCCAATAACCCTTGCTCTATGACAGCAAGCATGAAAACGAACATGACTCGATGGTAAGTGAGGTCATTTGTCCCTTTGCTATCCCCACAAAAATCAGGGTATCCAAAGTACAAGGAGAGGTGGATGCCCTGATAGATTCAGGCTGCACCCATTGCCTAATCAGCCTGCCAACTGTGCTAAGATTGGGAATCTGAGCACAAAAACTGCTCCAGGCCATGAGATTTGAACAGGTGGATGGGTCACCAATAGGAGGATCCCCTGCAACACACCTAATTGAGCCAGTATGGCTAGAGATGGGCAAACACTGGGAGATCATTCGCTTTATAATAGTCCCAAAGATAGAGAAAGTGATCCTAGGGCTTTCCTGGTTGGACAAATGGGGCCCAATGATCTGATGGAAAGAGGGCTGGAGGAAGATGAAGCTAGGAAGAGAGCCTTCCCTTCCCCAAAGAAATTTCAGGGGAGGGACTGCCTGCCAAACCCCTATCCAAATGAACAAAGAGTGGCTAAAGGAAACATCAGAAACCCCACTGGGCACTCAGTCAATCCCCAGGGAATATCGGGACCTGGCAGATGTGTTCAGCAAAAAGGAATGTTATATGCTTCCCCACCTCATTACTCCACTGACTGTGCAATCAAGGTCTTATCAGGAGCAAAGTTCCCCAAACCCGAGATTTGGGGTCATGACTCCAAGGGAGATGAAGGAACTGAGGAAGTACATAGTACATAGACCTAACCAAGGGATTCATTCATCTGCCAAGTCCTGCATAGCGGCCACAGTAGTGTTTAAAGAAAAGAAAGTTATATCAAGTGAGGGGACCCAGGGAAAGTGAAGGCTATCTTGGAATGGCAACCCCCTCAAACCTATAAGCAACTGCAGAGCTTCCTAGGCTTTGCAAAAAAATTTGTATAGTAATTTTTTTATTTTTTTTATTTTCATAACATAATCACATGTATACTATTACATAGCCAGCATCGTTTTGTATTGTTAAATGTTTACATCAATTCATCTTACCATCTATTCCCAAAACACAATTATTTAGCTCTTCTGCTCTCCGTACACCATATTTGTCCTTATTTTCTTCTCCCTCTCTCTCCTCCTTCTCCCTTCCTCCTTTCTTCCTTCTATCCCCCTTCCCTACTGTACTTCCTATTCCTCTCTCCTCCTCCTCCTCTCCCACCTTTCCACTGCTCATTTCCCTCCTCCTCTTCCCCCTCCTTGCCCTCTTTCCTATTCCTCTCTTCCTTTACCTCTCTCTTTTTCTTCCCACTCTTCATCTCATTTACTTGATGTATTTCAGCTTCTGAGCAAGTTCCATTTTATGTTGATGGTATTTATAGTTCCTTTTCAATATACATATTTAATTTTGACATCCTTTCTTGAAAAAGAAAAATAGAGCAAAAAAGTGTGTGTGTGTGTGTGTGTGTGTGTGTGTGTGTGTG